CTCACATGGGAATACTGTGGGATTTTGGGCAGTGAAGACTTGAATTCTTTAGAAGTTGTTTTGTTTTCCTAGCACATTTATGGATCTTTAGTAGTATAAACAACAGGACATGTAAAAACGAATGTAATTAAAAATATACAGGCCCCCTTGGTACTCAGAGGCCCTCTGACAGTCAGATGGGCTGGTGCTGCATGTTTTTGCATTCCTGCCTTTTCCCTGCACACTTTTGAGTAGAACACTTCAGGAACCAGAATAGTTTGAAACTTAACTTTGGTTTACAGACAGGCTTTTAATCTTGTTTGTTTTATTTAAGTAATTTCCAAGTGTCTGTTGGTTCTTGATGAGGTTTTTGCTAACAATCGAGGTTATTTTTTATTCCTGTATTTTTTTTCACTCATTCCAAACGCTTTTTTCTTTCCTCCAGGGAGGGCCAGCTTACAAAACTGCCCGAAACTAAAAAGACACTTTTGTTTACATTTAACGGTAAGAGAACTGGTGCCTGTGTCTGTCTGGGGGAGTGTTGGGCTTTATTTGTGCAAGTCACCTGCTCCAGTTCTGTCATCTATGGAGAATAATGTATGATGAATGACTTCAGTGCATGTACCAGGATCACTAATTGATAAACACAAGGCAGCAACACACTGGGACACTCAATCTTGCTCTACTGATCTTAAATCATGCTCCCCTCTACAGGTGGCTTACTTTTAAGCCACGAGCCTTGCATTTGAGCTTGCACAGACTCCCCTGGTTAACCCTGGTTTGAAATAAAAGCAGACTGTTGAGAACCTCTTCTAGAAAAGACCTGTAGTTCTCTTCAAAATTCAAGGCTGTCTCTCCAAGTGAAGCTTCCTAAAGAGGAGGATAAGAGCATCTTTATTTCATGAACAGTGACCAATAAGGAAAGAGCGTTAGAGCAAGTAGAAAAGTCCTGCCAGTCTCTCTGAATGAACAAGTAACTCTTTATTTCAGTGCCTGGTTCAGGCAACACTTCCCCAAAGGACATGGAGTCTTTGCTGCCTCTGATGAGCATGGTCATCTACTCCATTGACAAAGCAAAGAAATTCCGGCTGAACAGAGAAGTAAGTAGTGTCTTTTTGTGTCTTCTGAGTGCTGTGTGAAACTGCAGCCATTGCCTCTGGATCCTTCAGATCAGGAGCCTTTTGTTTCATGTGTGACTGCTGGAGATGCTGCATCCTGCTCGTGGGGAAATCTAGATAAACTTTTTTTTTTCCCCTCCCTCTGTGGAAAGGGTAAACAGAAAGCTGACAAGAACAGGGCACGTGTGGAGGAGAACTTCCTCAAGCTGACCCACGTGCAGAGACAGGAGGCTGCCCAGTCCCGCCGGGAGGAGAAGAAACGGGCGGAGAAGGAGCGAATCATGAACGAAGAGGATCCCGAGAAACAGCGTCGGCTGGAGGTGGGGGATGTCAGACTGGCACAGCCTGCTGGCACAGTCCAGCAGTGGAAACTTTGATTTCTGTTTGCTGGAAGGCAGACAGCTGTCAGGGTATTTACTGCTGCTCCCTGAAACAGGGCAACCCCTCACCCTGAAACCGGCTGGAAGGGGAACATTCGTCCAGATTCCTTGGGCATGCAGTGACGGGACGAGGGGGAAAGGTTTTAAGCTGAAGGAGAGTAGATTTACACTGGATAGTGGGAAGGAATCCTTCCCTGTGAGGGTGGGGATGGCTGTCCAGAGAAGCTGTGGCTGCCCCATCCCTGGAAGTGTCCAAGGCCAGGTTGGACAGGGCTGGGAGCAACCTGGGCTAGCGGAAGGTGTCCCTGCCCTTTCTGGGATTCTGTGATTTCCCTGCTGGTTAAACATGGGGAAACTGAGGCATGGCTGCACTGTGCCTTGTCTGAACCAAAGGGAGGATGGTGGAGCCTGTGCTGGCTGGAGCATAAAAGAGGGATGTGCTTCCTCTTAAATTTTGGGGAAAGGGTTTTGCCTTTGTGGGGACCCCCCCACACACCTTATGAGAAAGCCCACACTGGGAGGGAGGTGAACCCAGCACTGGGAGCTTTGTTTGGCTCTGAAATGCTCCACTTGCTCTTTGAGGAGATCCCTGACGTTTATTCACAGCCCTGTCCTTGCCCACAGGAAGCTGCTCTGCGGCGGGAGCAGAAGAAGCTGGAGAAGAAGCAGATGAAGATGAAGCAAATCAAAGTGAAAGCCATGTGAGAGGCGTCTCGGTGCCACCTGGGGAATTGTAACTCACGGGTACAAAGACCTACGTAACTCCATAGTCCTCTGCTTCTTTGAACACTAGTAGCCATTCAGAGAAAAGTTCTTGCATTGGTGTTACTTATTTAAGTATTGCAGCAACATGCAGGTGTGTGTGGAGAGCTTTGTCTCGGCAGTTCTTATTCCAGGTGGTAAAAAGTTTTGCTACTTGTCTGTTTAAAAAAACAAACAAAAAAAATACTGCAATATTCTTGAATGCTCTTTGTCATTTGTTCTTTAAAAACAGAAGATTGTAAACCTGTCCACGTGTGCTGGTAACATATTCATGCTTTGGTTTTAAACTTTGGGTTTAGTTAGTGGGAGGGAAAGGGGGGAAAACTTAATGGGGAGGAAAACTGCACAATAAACACTTACTGTGCATTTATTTGCATCAAGGCACAAAACTTAGAGCCTTCCATACACAGTATGGATTCTTCAGGGATTTAAGCCCAGTAGAATAGCAGTGATTTTTTTTTTCTTTTTTTTTTTTTACAAACAAGGGCCTGAAGCAGTATTAGGTCACCTGTGGGCATGATTGGCTTATGTATAAAAGACAGGGATGGTTAGAACCAAGGGAGTGGAATACATGGATAGTTTCCTACCTGTGGGTTTGGATGCTGCAAGCTTGGCACAGTGTGAAGTCTGTGATGTCAGCTTAGTGTTCCTTCAGGAGTGAGTGCATGGTGAGTTAGCAATTCAGCCAGCTTTCCTTGGGTGTTTTTAACTGTTCAAGTTTAGTTCAGACACTCTCCTCCTGATCCCAGCAGCTGCTGCCTAGCTCACTTCAGCCAGGAGCCAGATTCAGTGAGGTGCCTGCAATTGCCAACGTCCCCAAGCCAGTCAAAACGTTTCAGAGGACATTTATCCTCTTCATCTGGTCAGTGGTCGCCTGAGGGTTTTGAATCCAAATGGGGAGAAGGAAGTGAATGCCCTGTGCAAGCACTTTGCTGGGAGAGCTCTGCATTTTATAAATGCTGCCTATCCAGAAGGCATTTTATTGTTGCTTGTAACAGACTTTGAACAGTTTTGTGGGGAAACAATGTCTTGCATTTTCTTGTTCAATACCTTGTGCAAACTTGGTTCTGAGGCAATAAGAAAGAGCTGCTGTTGAAACAGCAACTGCTTAAACTTGTTCCAGCATGGGATACTTTACCCTGATTGAAATGCAAATGTCTGTAACCTGATACATGCAAATACATTCATTTTATAATGGTTGGTAAAAATATTTAAAACCAAACTAATGTAGAGTATGTGAAATTTTAGCACTATTTAGCTTTAAAGATTAATACAGTGTTGTTTCACAGAGTTCTTTAAAAGGAATTGCTAGTTTGTGCTCTTCTGAGTAAGTGGACAGCTTTCTTGAAGTCCCATCCAGTTGTGGGCCATGGCAGCTAATTTTGTAATATGAACATTCAAATGAACAATCTAAAGAGTAAAATATAATTGAAACACTCCACTTGCCTACTTTACTTGGCTTGACTCAGTGTTCCTTTCATTTAGTAGGATCTCAAAGCCTCGTTTGTCCTGGGTAGGTTTTGGTGTAGATTTTGAACATCCAGGAGCTGCTGTTCCCTCTGCTGTGATGATGGTGGGTGGTGGAAGTGATTCCTTCCACCTGGGATCTGCTCCCTGGGAGGGTGGTGGTTGCTGGGGGAGGGCTGGAAGAAGGTGTCTCTCCCCTGGTGCAGGTTTGGGATGGTGGAGATGGAGGATTTGCCCCCAGGCTTAAGGATGGGGTTTATGGGTGGGTGCAAGAGCAGAGTGGGTGGGTGAGTGGGTTCCCTGTGCCCGAGGACTGGTGGGAGCACAGCCTGGGCCACTGAGGGACCCATGGAATCAGAGAAGCTGGAAAAGACCTCTGAGATCATCGAGCCCACCCTGTGCCTGATCCCCATCTTGTCCCCCAGCCCAGAGCACTCAGTGCCATGTCCACTCCTTCCTTGGACACCTCCAGGGATGGGGACTCCACCACCTCCCTGGGTAGCCCCTTCCAATGCCTAACAACCCTTTCCAGGAAAAAATTCCTCCTGATGTCCAACCTGACCCTTCCCTGGCACAGCTGGAGGCCGTTCCCTCTCCTCCTGTCCCTTGTTCCCTGGGAGCAGAGCCCGACCCCCCCCCCGGCTACCCCCTCCTGTCAGGGGGTTGCAGAGCCAGAAGGTCCCCCCTGAGCCTCCTTTTCTCCAGGCTGAGCCCCCCCAGCTCCCTCAGCTGCTCCTGCTGCTCCAGCCCCTTCCCCAGCTCCGTTCCCTTCCCTGGACACGCTCCAGCCCCTAAATGTCCTTCTTGCACTGAGGGGTCCAGAACTGGATACAGGACTCGAGGTGTGGCTTCACCAGAACAGGGGAAGAATCGCTTCCCTGGTCCTGCTGCCGCTCCATTTGACACAAGCCAGAGGTGCCTTTGGTCTTCTTGCCCACCTGGGCACACGCTGGCTCACGTTCAGCCGGCTGTCAACCAGCACCGGGAGAGCCGCTTTGCAGCCGCTCCGCCCCAGCCGTCAGTGCTGTGCCCCGGAGCGCGGGGCCCGCCGGTTCTCCCTCCCGCCCCCTCACGGACCCAACATGGCGGCCGTTCCTGCCCCGCCCCTTCGCGCGGGAGCCGCGGCCGTGACGTCCCGCGCGTCGCACGCCGGCGCGGTGACGTCACGCGCAGCGCGTCCCGCCGGTGAGCGGCGGCCGCAGCCTGAGGGGTCCGTGAGGGGCCCCGGGGGGGCACCCGGGGAGGGGTCGGGGCTCTGTGAGGGCTCTGGGCGGCGCTCACCGCGGTCACCGCTCCCCTGGGGCCCTCCCGCGCTGGGGCCGGCTGAGGGGCTCAGGGGGACATCGGGGGTGTCGGTGCTTTGTGTGGGCCGCGGGTGAGGGGCCCCGGGGGGTGTTCGGGGTATCGGTGCTTTGTGAGGGCTCCTGACGGTGCTTACCGGGGTTAACGCTGACCTGGGGCCGGGTGAGGGGCCCGGGGGGGTGTTCGGGGCTGTCGGTGCTTTGTGAGGGCACCGGGCGGTGGTTACCGGGGTTACCGCTCCCCTGAGGCCCTCCCGGGCTGGGGCTGCTGGGCAGGGCGGGTGAGGGGCCTTGGGGGATTCAGGGATCTCGGTGCTTTGTGAGGGCTCCGGGCGGTGGTTACCGGGGCTGCGGGTCCCTGAGGGGCCTGGGGGTGTGAGCGCTGCCCGTGCGGGGGTGACACTTTGACGCTCCGCTGTGTGTCCCGCAGGTGTCCCGCCCTTTCTGCTGCGCGGTCCCACAGCGGCGGATCCATGTCTTTCCTTGTAAGTAAACCCGAGCGCATTAGGGTGAGTGTTGAAGACCTTCCAGCTTCCCTCGAGTCGGTACTGACGAGCCTCGCGCTTTGTGCAGAGGGGGCCGGGCCTGGAGAGCACCGTGAAAGCGCAGGGAAACTTAATTACGGGGTTAATTATAGGGCGGGGATGGGTGTGCGACCAGCGCTGGTTAAAAAACACTGTAAAGGATTTATTGCTGCACACGTATCTCCTGGGTGTGCAGTGGGGCTGCAGTGGGCCTTGTAATGAAGAAAAAGGGCCATAATGCTGTTTGTTTTCAGCTTTTCTTTAGGAAGTGGCCACCTCACCTGTGTCACCTGTTTTTGTTTGGTTTTCCCTTCACTTCGCTTGCAAAGCTAAACTCAACAGCTGTGTTTGATTCTGCTTTTTAAAGTGAGGAGGTTTCCTGCAACACAACAGCTTTTAATGCCTTAAAATGGCACTGCTATAGACAAGTTTTGAGCTACTATCACCTAAACACTCGGTGCTTTCTAGGACTGGCTTCCCTTGTGCTAAATAACATGAGCTGTTTTTTAAATTATTTTGCCAAGTAGACAAATTCTACCCTGGGAATGTTTGTGATTTACTGTTTAATACTAACTTTGTGATCAATACTCTGCTAGCTTAAAATTGCATATTCTGTTTTTTATTATCTGTGTAGATATTTTTCTTTCTTTGAATTACAGTGTTGGATAGTGGTAGAACCAAATGCTGTGAAATTTCAAACATGAGTTCTGGAAGAGAACAACAGCTTTAGAACCTTTATGTTCTAATCAATAGACATATAACCAAAATACTTAAATTCTGTAAGATATCACCTCATTGTAAATAGTGAAAGCTTTTTTTTTTTGTTTTTTAACACCTATTACACCCTAAAACTCAATTAATTTGCCTGTAAAAGGGAGTTGTTGCATGTTGGTAATTTTTGCTCTATGTGCATGTATAAAAACTTGTTTGAATTATTAAAATGATGGTAATTTTAGTGCATGTTGGTTGGGAATAACAGCAGCACCTCTGGGGTGTCACAAAAAGGGAATGTCCTTTTCCAGAGTAAGGGTATAACTGATGATGCAGCAAATCAGTTCCATAATTGTTGAAGTTACATGATTCTCTCCTGGGTTTTTGTGGGGAAGGGGGAAAAGAAACTTGTCTCCAGGTGGAATAACTGATTATGTGGAGGATTTTTCTTTCTTTCAGCGGTGGGTGTCTGAGAAGTTCATTGTTGAGGGTTTGAGAGAGTTCGAGCTGTTTGGAGGTAAGTTCTCTACTCTCCTAAGATGACATTGTTAGAAATGTTTTATTTTAGCTGCAAGGTCTGTTAATTTGGTAGTAAAGACGTATCTTAACAGTAAAAGAGGTGATTAAATCTGGTTGTAGCACCAGGTCTGGTTATTCAGGCTGGCTAAGCACAGAAATTTAATGTGGAAGTGTCCTTTGGAAATCAGTTCCATGTTGATTACTGTACCATTTTTATCTGTGTTTCTCAACATAACCACTTTTTTTCTTATGCAAAAGGTGGATTTGGGGTTTGGTAAAGTTAATTTTCTGAGTAAAAGTGGATTTTGAAACTGCTGATGGCTCCCCAGTGTGCCTGCAGAGACCTGATGGGTTTGTGCTCTGCCTTGTGCATAAGCCCCAAAATTGCCCACTAGGATGCAGAATTCCTGATCAATGACATGGAAAAAATCAGCATGGGAAATATGTCTAGACCTTGAGCTTTCAGGTGGAATGGAAGAATTTTTATTGCTCTGAATAATTTTCGATAGTTTCTTCTGTATTTAAGTGTCACCTCTGAATGTGTTTAGAATCATAAAGAGTTTAGGTTGGAAGAGACCTTTGAAGATCATGTAGTCCACCCCCCTGCTATGAGCAGGGACATGGCAGAGGGATATTTAGGGCTATAATTAAAAAAATTGTCACCTGACATTTCTGTCAAATATATGAACAGTAGCACTATTTGAACCTCTTTAATTCCCATATGTGCATTGAAATTTTATATAAATTAAATAATAACAAAGAACTGTGTGTATGTGGTATCAGAAAGTGCCATGTAGGGTTGTTTGCTCAGTTTTCCAACTATATTTTAATGGGTGTCTGTTGAACACAACATGGTGAACAATTAATTTCTTTACTCCAGAGCAGCCTCCGGGTGACTCTCGGAGAAAAGTAAGTGACTTGTGCAGGCTGTGGTGCTGTGGTTCATTGCATGGAGATTATTCCTTGTGGAAGTTTGATTTTTTCTTTTTATCTTAGTTATATATCTCATCTCTGTATTTAGCTCTACAAGTGTGGAAACAGGTTTCACCCTGGAGTGGAGATTTTGGTGTGTGGTTTTCAAACTCTTATGTGAATCAGCCAAAAATTTAAACTCAAGTCTCTCTTGGATTTGTATTGGTGTCGTCATCCCCTCTCCCCCCAGCCTCTTGAGGGTCTCTTTTTGAGGTGATTTAGAGCTGATTCTTCAGAGAATGAAGGAAGAGGGTAGTTTGGTGGTCATTTTCAGAGCCAATTCCATGCCTGATTTGCCTCCTAAAAAGTAAAATCACTCCCAGCCATGGGGTGTTCAAAACTGTACAGCCAAAATGTGGCAGTTGAAAGCTTCACCTTGCTGGTGTTTGTTCTCCAGGACCTGATCACTCTCTGGTTCATAATGAGCACGTAAAATAGCACAACTTACAAGACAGTATTTTTGTCAAAACGATTCCCCACCACCCCACAACACACTGAAACATCTCTGTGTGCAGGTGTTGCTCTAGTTTAAGTTAATTACAAACATGAATCAAGTGTGATTTGATTATAACTGTGTCAGTTTAAGCTTCTTATAATTGATTTTTGTGCCAGTGTCTGTAATTTACTGTCACAAACAAAGCTGAAAATAGGAGGTGTATTTGGAATGCTTTGTATAAAATTGAGTCCATTCACACCTTTTTGAAATGGCTGAGTGTTACACATATGCTGGGCTGGAAGCAAGTTGAGATTAGCATCTGTTTTGGTTTTGTTTAAGTATTCACCTGGGGTTTGGACACTTTTGCTGATTCTCATTTTGAATTTTATATCTAAATAAAAGCCTTTTTTTTCCAGCAAGGCTGTAGAAAAAAGTAAATAATTTGGGGAGAGGGGTGGGAGGAAAATTTTTGTTGCTTGTGCTGCGAGTGAGGGAATGAGGAGATGGAGAGGAAGGCAGCAGAACAAAACTGATATTCCCTCTTCCTAACTCAGAGGAATGTCATTTGGCAAATGCAGATCCTTGCAAGCATCACATAACTGATTGTGCTGTGGCATTTATACCAGTAGTTGCCTTTCAAAGGTTAATTTCCTTTAACTCAAATTAAATCAGCTCCAGGAGCTGTTAAGCCAGCTCTGAGTGAATGCCGGGCCATAAAGCTGCTTTTGACCATACACCAAAAGTTATCCCGTGTGAAACCACTGAGGAGCTTTTTGCAGTATCTCATAAATGACATTTCAGTTTAACTTTCTTTTTTTTAAACTCTTGTATGATGTTGATAAGTTCCTGGTAGAGCTCCTTTTGCATTAACTCTGTTATTGGTCACTGCTAACATGAGGAGAGGTGAGTGAAGACCTCCTACTGGAAGACTTAAAAAGAGAATTTACAGCATCTTTCCATTACTGTACAGCCTACACCATTAATAAGATTAAATTTATTCAATTCTTTGCATCTGTTTTGTTGGCTCGTGCTCTGTCTGGAGTGGACTTTAATAAAGCAAAGCACTTACATATTGCTCAGTGTCTCACCAGCTGTCACCGCTCCATAACTGCTTCCCAGCTCCCGCTTCCATCTCCTTGGTGGTGCCTTCCTGCTTCAGAGGTTTCCATCTGCCTGTGTGTCTCTCCTGGCAGTCTGGCTGTTGGCAGGACTGTGTGAAATTGCTGCAAGAAGTCATGAATGACACAATTGGGATCAGAACTGACAGGCCTCTTTAGCAGAAGTTTGAAATCCTGAGTGGGAAGTTGCTGCCTGTTCTGAGCCAAGGAACAGCACTGTAGTCTTAGGACTAGGAGAAAGGATTTGAGAGTGCTGGTCCTGAGACGTGACTGAGTTGTTTGAGCTGAAATTATACCCTAGCACTGGTCACAAATCTTAATTTTTGCCTTTTCCCTTACTGGAAAAATATTTTAAAGGTAGGCAGTGTGCTGTTCATAGCCAGCTGAAAAGGTGGAACTTGGGAAGTGTGACTCTTTAGTTTACTCCCAAAGTACACTTGGGGACCCAGAGGTAATTTTCAGCAAAGTCCTGTCTGTGCTCTTTGCATTTACCCTGTGCTGAGGGTAGAACAGGAAGTTCCTTGTTTTTCAGCTGTCACTGTGTTGTTTCCATCTTTCAGTGATGGAAATAAAAAAGGGAGTTTGCTGTCGCACTAGGAAAAGGCACAAACCTCTTCTGCTTCATGTGCCATGAGAGAAGGTCTGATAAAGGGCATTTGCTGTTGATGAAGAATGAGGTGGAAAAATTGAGCTGACGTTCCAAATGTCAGGAGGAGTTAATGTGCTGGAAATTCGAGATAACTAAAGACGATTTTAGACACCAAATAAATTCTAATCCCCATTTGGATGCGTTCCTGGTGACTTTGGAATTTGAGGGAGTTGGAAGGCATAAAGGAACTTTGTAAGAATGTTGAAGTTTATCATCTGCAAAATCCTGCTTGGGAAGATTTATGTGTATGAAAATAAGGCAGCTTTATGTCAGATGGAGCGAGGGAAAGCTGACAGGCTTGGGAATGCTGCTTCCCATGTAGTGGTGGGGCTTTTTTATCCCTTTTTTCCCTCCCCTTTTTTTTTTTCTGTAAGCACTAATGCTTTGCAGTTTTTGCTTTCATCTGGAGCTTCTCTTTTCACATGTGTCTGATTTTCTTCATCCCTTGTGCCATTCAGCTAAGCAGCTTCAGCTGTGCTGGGCTTATCCCAGGTGAGCAGGTGAAAAGCAGGAGCCCCAGCATCCACCAGGAACTGCCACAGTGAAGGGAAGTGCTGGGAACAAGCTTCCCTTTGGCTCTTGCTCAGGCAACAGGATGGTGGCACAGGAGTTTGTAATTCATGGGAGAAAGGCAGTTACCTTAAAGCAGTGCTCAGGCTCTCCTGGGAAATAATAATTGGCTTTATCCAAATATTCCTGAATAAATTCTAGCATACAGTGATTAACAACCTACCTGTTACTTGTTTGGTAACACAGATCTCTGGATCTTCTGAAATGAGGCATCTCCTGAATTTCAATTGATAAATGACTATTTAAGAGTATTATAACAGCAATTAAATCCTCTTCTGTATTCAGTACTGCCATTATTTTGAGGTGTGTGTGATATGAGGCACAGGTGATTTTTCCAGCAGGTGATCTTTGTTTCTTTTGACCTGACTTCCTTTTTCCCCCCAGACAAATGAGGCGAGCTCCGAGTCGATAGCTTCTTCCCCTAAAAGGGACACCATGAGCAACTTCCTTCCAGACAGCAGCTGCTATGAGTTGCTCACCATCATAGGTAATTCTGGAGGGCTGGAGGATCAGGGTCTGCTTTGCAGAGAAAACAACTTGGACAGATTGTTGGCCTTTTCTTGATTGATTGCTTATTTTTGACATTAGGTGTCTGTCATCTTTGATTTTTAAACTCACTTGAATAAAAAATGAGATGCCAGTCCTGAAGGTTTTCAACTGGGAGGTGGGTTAATGATACTGGGGGTGCAGTACAGTCAGCAGAAGCAGCCTGAAACCTGTCCTTGGTGGTCTTAATCACTTCATTTCTACCTCAGTCTTGAATTTGAAGGACAGGATAATATTACTGGCTAGGAGGATTCCTCTCAATGGGATACCTGCCAAGGAAAGTGGTGTCTGATGGAATGATTACTCTTTTTCACAAGGCCAAAAATAGTTTCAGTAAACGAGTGTAAAGATGATTGAAGGGTCAAGGGCTGGAGGACTTCTCCAGAGGGCTGTGCTTCCAGAGGTGTTGCTGAAGCTTTAATGCCTTTTCTTTCAGGCAGAGGCTTTGAAGACCTGATGGTTGTGAACCTGGCCAGGTATAAACCCACAGGAGAGTATGTGACAGTCAGAAGAGTGAACCTGGAGGCCTGCACAAACGAGATGGTCACGTTCCTGCAGGTAACACCAACCCACCATGCCAGCTGAGGAGAGGACAGAGACAGCTAGAGCTGTGCTTATCAACACTGCAGCCATGTTTCTGCGTTTACTAAACCTAATCAAAACATCTTTTTTTTTTATTTCAGGGGGAACTTCATGTTTCCAAGCTCTTCAACCACCCGAACATCGTGCCATACAAAGCAACCTTCATAGCTGACAATGAGCTGTGGGTTGTGACATCTTTCATGGCCTATGGTAGGTGGAGAGGGGATACCTTTGTCTGACCATCATATTGTGTGAAATGAAATGAAGTGGAAGAGGTGAAGCATCCTTGGGGCTTTTGTTCTGACAGGTGGTGTTTTGTTTCTTTTTAGGCTCTGCAAAAGATTTAATCTGTACCCATTTTATGGATGGGATGAGTGAACTGGCCATTGCATATATCCTCCAAGGTGTATTGAAAGCACTTGACTACATCCACCACATGGGCTATGTACATAGGTATTAAAAAAATAAATTGACCCATTTTCCTTCTTTTGGAAGCTCTTGGAAATACTGCTCAGAGTAGAGTAGAGAGGATGATTCAGGAGACACTGAACACATTAAGTTTTGTATTTGCTGTTGGAGCAAGTCAGTTTGATACTCATGGGAGATGATATCACTGACCTTACTAAGCTGCAGGAAAGTGTCACTGTGGAACAAATTTATCCCAAAGACCACTGTGTCTGAAATCACAGCTCATAAGCTTTAGTCCTGCATTTCTCCTTGCCACAGAAACATTCTTTGGGAACATGCAAAGGGGGTGAAGAGAGTCCTGTTAATGTTTGTAGAAGTGGTCCCAGGATGGTTGTTTAGGAGTCTCAGTGTCCTGGTAGGAGGCTGATCAGGTGTTGTCCTGTGCATTGAGCTGTCCAGTGAAGTAAAGGCAGAGAACCTGACTATTTTTCCCTTCTTTTCCCAGGAGTGTCAAAGCCAGCCATATCCTGATCTCTGTGGATGGGAAGGTGTACCTCTCTGGCCTGAGGAGTAACCTGAGTATGATCAACCACGGGCAGCGACTCAAAGTTGTTCATGACTTCCCCAAATACAGCATCAAAGTGCTGCCTTGGCTCAGTCCTGAGGTCTTGCAGCAGGTGTGTTTAAAAAACCTGCTTGTGTTTAGTGATCTGTGGCATCTCTGTGTAATATTCTGAGTTGTTAGGGCACCTTCAGGGGGTGTAGGGAGGGGGGACATGACAAAACCCACAGAGCCACTTTTTGTTGTGATGAGCTCTGTCCTTTTTTTCTGTCCTTTTTACCTCAAACAGTGACCCCCTAGCAAGGGGAAACTTGTATTCCTCTTGGAAGGGGAAATTGCTGAACAGAAAGAAGGTGTTTAAATGCAAGGAAAAGGAAGGGTAGAGACTAGAGGGAACAGATTTGGGGTGGGTGCAGGGAAACTCTGACAAAGTTATCTATTTGATTAAATAGTTTAACTGTAGGTACCTCTACAGATTGTCTCATTAGGAAGGGGTCACATCAGGTGCCAGTTACCCCAAGGCAGATGCCAGCCCTACTAACTGGCTGATTGCAGTTGCACAAGTGTTGCCCTTAACTGTGTGTTTTAACAGACCAAAACACCCCACCACAATAAACCAGTCTGTCTGTGGGTTGTGCTGTTCCTGCTCTAATCATGTGGGTTTGCTGACTTGCATATCAAATGATGGGTATTGCCCAATCCATCACATCTAAGTCCCCAGGGCTAATCTTTCTTTTCCCTTTCATGTAGAACCTCCAGGGTTACGATGCAAAATCTGACATTTACAGCGTGGGGATAACGGCCTGTGAGCTGGCAAACGGACACGTCCCGTTTAAAGACATGCCTTCCACTCAGGTGAGGTTTGGAAGCTGCTCCTTTCTCATCCTTTATCCTGGCACATGGAAGTGCTTCGCTGCGCTGGGATGTGAGGACAGAAGGTTGCTGTGCCTGTGTGAGTGGGAAGTCTCAACTGTCTTGCTTGCTGTCTGTCATGTTGCCTGTGCCCTGCTCTTCCAGATGCTCTTGGAAAAGCTGAATGGAACCGTTCCCTGCCTGCTGGACACCACCACAATTCCTGCTGACGAGCTGACCATGAAGACATCCCGTTCCAGTGCTAATTATGGGATGGGTGAGAGCACGGCCGTCAGCAACGTGCGAGCGGCCAACGGGGAGCCAGCCCTGCACCCCTATCTCCGCACCTTCTCCACCTACTTCCATAACTTCGTGGAGCAGTGCCTCCAGAGGAACCCTGACTTCAGGTAAAGCCAGGTGAAAGCTGCTCTTCACACCTGGTTAAGCTGTGGGAGTCAGCAAAGTTCAAAGTTTTGTTTCCCAAAGTGTGGTGGAGGGAGGATGTGCTCCATCCACTGAGGAGAGCAGTCCGAGTGTGTAAAACAGAGCAGTGTTAACACTTCGAGCACTTTCTATGAGAGAGCCTGAAGGATTCCTTGACACCCTTCTTTGGGGAGTAGAATGGTGCTGCACATCAAGAAAACAAACTGAACAACTTGAATTTCTGGCCCCTGTAAGACCACTTTTACCAGTTCCCATCACTCTGCTCTTCAGCCAGCAGAGAATTATGATGGGAAGGGATCAAGAGCTGCATTTTCCTCTGTGGTGAGGGCAGGGTCATCTATAGCCATGACAGACTTCTCTGGCATGTCCCAGTGCTTGGAAGCTGTCCTTGGCCAGATGTTGGGGGGAGCAAGTAGGTAACTGGAAGGTTAGAAAGAAGGTGGAACTCACCTCACATAAAATATGTGATATTAAATACTTAATAACTGTGCTACTGGTGACAAAAGAGAGATACCCAATAAATGAGAAATGGGAGAGGCAGGAAGGACTGGTCTTTTCTTTCTTCTACTACCTGACTTCAAAGGCTGACATGTTTTCTTGTGTGCTTACTTGATTCTCCCTCCCTTCCACAGGCCAAGCGCAGGCGCTCTGCTCAGTCACCCCTTTTTCAAGCAGGTAAGGAACTAATTTGTCTGCAGGTAAAGCACAGTGGCTTTGCTGTAGTTGTCTTGCTGTGTCACTGAACCCGAGGGTGGGCCCGTTGAGTCGCTGAATCCTCTGTGCTCTGAAGGGCTGAGTCAGTTTGGTGGCTGCAGTGCAGTGGTGATCCTCTCATCCTCCTGGGCGTGCATCTCTTATCCAACAGGGCTTGTAAATCTGCCTGTCCCATGTGTCACAGCAGCTCTTCACCCACAGGCTGTTGAGTTCTGGGGCGAGGCAGTTCTAACCTGGTCCTTCACAAGCCCAAACAAGTGATGTGTGGGTTTCCTGCCGGGTGTTGCTGCCCAGGGGTGGAGCAGCACCCGAGCAGCCGAGTTCTCTCCGCTCTGTGCAGATCAAGCGCCGCGCGTCCGAAGCGCTCCCGGAACTCCTGCGCCCCGTCACCCCCATCACCAACTTGGAAGGGACACAGCCCCAGGATCCCAGCGGCATTTTTGGGTTGGTGTCAAATCTGGAGCAGCTGGATGTGGATGACTGGGAATTCTAGAAAAGCAGGGACTACGCCGCGTTCTGGAGGAGCTCTCTGGACATTGTATTTATTGGTCCTGCTCATAAAAGCTGATGAATGTTACACACAGAAGAGTTTACAGGTCCTTGGGAAGGAACTTCAACTGCCTGTTTACTTAAGAAGTAGCCTGGAAACATGGACAGGCCTGAGCTGGGAAAGGATCAACCCAAGGAACTGTGGAGTATTCCAGATGGTGCAGTGCCCAGAGCCCCCACCCTTGTGGCTGAGCACTGGTAGATCACTTGAGGGGGTTGAGTGAGTTTGTGTAGTTATGGTCTCTATTTATGTGTTTCTAAAAATCACTGGCTTCCTCCTATCACAGTTGAGGCTGCATGTCCCTACCCTGTGTGGTTCTTTCTCTTTTAAGGGTGCCTTAGAATTGAGGGGAGGTGGGCAGCTCTTAGTTTTGGGCATTCTCTTAGAACTAGTCAGATTCCTGTTTCAGTGTTGTCACAGGGCAAGTTTTGATGGGGACAAAAGGGATTATGTTCTTAGTTACTGCTTTGTGATGGAAAATGGGAGATCAAAGACAACCTGGTGCCATTCCAGGCACTCTTGCTGCATTGGGCATTCCTCTGCAGCACTGGATTCTGCCAGTTCTGGAGAGGCTTTTGAAGACTCCTCCCTCGATGCTGAGCACTCTGAACTCCAGGTCAGACAGGACCTTCCAGCCTCCCCTCCCAGCTGCCTCTGTCACCAGAGCAGTGGATGCCTGTACCACAAACCAGCTTTTTTATCCCCATCCAGTTGAACCTCACGCTATCTGGGCTGGTTTCACAGCACGCAGCACTCTTACCAGCTTGTTCTTAGTGATTTACCCTGGCAGAGAGGAACAGTAAGTTGATTTTCCTGCTAAATCCTCTTGCTGATGACTCCTGTACAGAACTGAACTTCACCCCTCCATCACCATTGCTCTTCTGCCTTCCCTGACTGACTGACAGGTAAAAGCTGCTCACGTGGCTCCCTGTGATTCACGGCTGTGTGACTCTGCCCTGCTGCTGTGGCAGCTCTCCCCCATTCCACGGTGTTTGGGGTTTTTTTGGAGGTGTATTTAAGGCTTTTCGTTTGACTTTTCCAAGGACCACTGGTGCTGGAGGTCTACTCTTTATTGGAGCACTGAGAATCTTCGTGTGGGTGCAGTTGATGGGAGTAGTGGTGCTGGCAACGGGTCCTTCTTGTGTTTATAAACTGTACTTGAACCCAGATAAAGTTTGTTACTCTAGTTTTTTGCCAAAACAAATAAAATATTTCTGAAGTTGTTTTTTAAGTCTGCTGTTTCTGCAGGCTGATGGGAGTGAAGCAGAGGGTGACACAGGCTGGCTGTGCATACTTGCTCTTATCTCCATACAGGTCACCGGTTCATTGCAGCTGCCTTCATGTTTCAAAGACATATTTCAGTGAAATCAAGAAGCTGCAAACACCTGCACTTACTCTTTTCTGAAACTTTCAGTGAAACCCTTCTCCCAGCACAGGGGTGTTTGTAAGGTCAGGCCCAGTTCCTCCCCAGGATCAGGTTTGTCTCCTGATTTAATCTTATTAGAGTAAGTGGATCTTAATTTCTTGGTTTGCTATGAAGTCTGCAGTTTGCAAAAATCCTTATCAGGGCTGAATCCCTGGTACTTAAAGCAAGAAAAAGCACAGTACCACTTGTCATGAAACCTTTGGGGCTCAGTGAATGATGGTTGGGGGCTGGGTTTTCTCACAAACAGGGCAGATTCAGGAGGTGTGCTGCCCACTGAAGTTCCATCCCTCACAAGTTCTAGAAACCAAGACAGGAGGGCATAAATCCCCAATACCTGCAGTGCTCCAGCCTGCTTTCCCCTGAGTTAGCATTTTTAGGGTGAAGGATGAACTTGATGCCAGCTCATATTTCTCATCCCTGTCCCTGCTTGCAGCTTGCTCCATGCTCAGAGCTTATGGACTTAAATTAACTTGGATAGTTTTATGCTTACACAGCAGCAGGATCAGTGCAGAATTAGGAGTGAACAGCAGCCCCTTGGCCAGAAGCAGTGAGTTATGAACTGAACATTCAGCTTTCAGCATCTCCTTCCCTGGGTGCATTGGGGTCCTGGGGGTAGCAAACAGCTCTACTCAGCCACAACTCGGAGCCTGACCTTACCTGTTCTGCCAGAGCAGCAAACAAGGAGTCCAGCACAGCTGGACACTGTTCCAGGAGCTGCTGGTTGGATACACAACCTCTGGCTCCAGCTGTGAGGTTTTTTTTTTTATCCTACAAAAGCTTTATTCAGTTATATACAAAACAGGGTGCTCTGCTACTGCGGATCCTCGCCGTGGTCTGACTGCTGCTCCTCCTCTTCCTCCCCTTTGTGTTTTTCCAGTTTTGCCATGAGCTCTGAAAAACAGGAACAGGCAGGATGAGGTGACAGGTGCAGGGGCTGTCCCACACCAAAGCCAGGTCCTGTGAACACCCAGAACCAGGGCACTACTGAAGATCCTTCGCCTGCAGAGGCTCACCTCAGAGGGTATCCAGTGTTGGCCGAGTCCAGGCACGAGCTGGACAGTCACTCCATCACTGCCTTACTGATGGGACAAGCTGCTCCCCTGGCATATCCCCCTTCCCTCTCCAGAACTCACTCCCTGAATTTCCACACCAAGGGCAAGCACAGACCCTCATTTTGCACCCACTGAGCCTCCCAGGCCATGATTTAATATCTCCTGGCACTAATAAAGCTCTGCTGGCAGCCAAGAGCTCTCAGCTCCAGGGCCAGGCCCAGCACCAAGATCCATCAGGAGCTGGTGCCTTTGCTGCTCTGGAAGGTCTCTCCCCAGGTGTGTGTTACCTTTTGCTGGGTTGAAGACCCCGTTGGTTTGCTTGTCACAGACGTAGCAGCGCTGGGACTTGCGATAGTGCTGGAGGGCACAGCTCTCACAGAAGTAGTGCCTACACCTGCAGGGAGACACAGGGCTCACTGCAAGTCACCAAACACAACCACTGTGGCCTGCAGGCAAAAATTAGACTGCTGGTCCCCAGGGGAAGCAAAAGTGAGCCGCAGGCAGAGCTTCCCCTGCATCCCTGTCCCAGTGAAGGTGTTTTGGCACTGCTTCACTGATGCAGAGTGACAGCACAGAGCCACCAGTGACCTCTTCTGACACAGGTACCAGGACAGCCAGCAGTGTTGGGAGAGGGCTGCCCTCAGCCTCCTCCTCCTCACCAAGCTCTTGGCTTCCCCCTTCTCCCATTTCTCTGCTCAGGCAGTGCAGTGTGCCATTCCAGGAGGAATGAAGGCGTGACAAAATCCCAAGGTTGAGGGGAAAAGTTATGTAACGAGTCAGCATCTGTGAAAATCTAAGAAGTGCCTGAACGAGGGCTTGAGATCCCTTCCAAGGGGGTGCTCCAGATGCAGCTATGAGGCTCCCTGGTTCTCAGAGGACTTCCCCACCCACCCAGAAGGCCATGGCAGACGACAAGCAGGTTCCACCCACAGCCTGTGGGCAGTGTTTGTCTCAACAGTGAACGACTCATGAGCTGAGTCCACAGCAGACACGTAGCTCCTCATGCCAAACCACCACTCACTTGGTGACCACGGGGTTCTTGAAGGAACTTCTGCAGATGAAGCATTTGAAAGGCATGTCCTCCTCATCACTGCTCACCTCGTAGTTCTCCTCGTCTGCAGAAGAGAGAGTGAACCAGACCAGAGCAAGAGCAGCCAGCCCAGCCCATGTGTGGGGCATGAAATATTAAATATGAGGAGAGCACAGCAGGTGGGATTGAATCTGTGCTGGAAACAACGGAGCTCTGGCATCTGGGTGTTGCTGATGTCAGTAACACATGTGGGCCTGGGCTATAATTAGGGCTAATGAGCCAGCGGGCCTGTTGCTCATCTCACAAGAGCAAATTCCTTTCTACCTCACCCACTCACTGCTATAAAGAGAAACATCCTCCAGCCCCCTCATGTTTTTTAGACTTTCTTCCAAACCAGCTGCCACCAAAACTCTGGCTCCAACTGAACAGAGAACACCCTCTTCCCCTTGAGCTGCACAGCAATGCTCACGAACCCTGGGCCACAGCTATGGGCACTGAGTGAGAAAAACTGATGTGCCCAGGGAAGGGTCACAGCTCCTGGGCATCCGTGGGACAGATGGTCCCATCTCTCCAGCTCCACAGACCCACACAACAGCAGGGCTCTCCTGTCACAGAGCAACAGGGGAAATCACCCTCTGGAGTGGAGTCGGTGGTGGTCCAAAAGCAGCAGCTCTAAGCTTATCCTGCAGCAGGGAGTTCCACAGCTTTGGAATAAAGAGCCCTTTGCTGTCTCACACTGCACACACCAGGGGTTGGATTAATACTAGACCGAAATCCATGATGAGAGGCGGGATGTGGTGGCCTCCTCCCCCAGAGGGGCCGTACCGTTGACCCCGTAGCGCCCCTCGTCCAGCTCCCGCTCGATCTGCCAGCCGTGCTTGTAGTCCGAGCGGTCGTGCAGGAACTTGCAGCTGTCTGAGGAGCACAAGGAAAAGAGGAATCAACAGCCAGGCTGAGAGGGCACAGTGTTACCAGCACGTTCATTCCTGAGCTTTGCCCAGCAGGTGAAATTTGGTTGCTCCCCGCTCCAGGGCAGTGCCAAACTCCTGGAGCAGGTACAGGATCCCTCAGTGTTGACAGGCTGGGAGGATCATTCTCCCTGTGCCACAGGGACAGTGCCAGCAGTTAATACATGCGGGAAGCGGGATAAGGAACAGGAAATCCCATCCCTCCCATGGCCTCAGTGGGCCCACACACCTGTGGGAATGTGGGTCACTGAGACATCCCAAGGGTCCCTCCCAGGACTCCCATAATCCCTAATTAGAGGCCCTGAGCTTTCAGGAGGGCCAGCACAAATGACAAGAACGTTCCATGAACAGCTCTGCACCAGCATCACACCCCAGCCCTGCACAGAAGTGCCTGTAAATCAGTCTCAGCATCACAAAAGGGGATCAGAGCTGCACTGGATCCCTTTGCAGACCTGGTGCATCACTGTTTCAGCTGCAGGGACGATCCACTCACCCCCAAAGCCACAGAACCCCGTCTCTTTGTAGTCCTTGCAGATGTCAGGCTGGTAGTCCCATCGCACCGTGGCCCGAAGGTGCTCTGGAGCACGGATGGGGCCTTTCCTGAAAGGGGGGAGAGGGCTCAGGGTGCCTGCACAGCACCCCTGGAGCAGGGCCTGGCCAGAACCAGGCACCAGCCCTGTCAGACAAACAGAAACCGGCAGTGACAGCAAAGTTCAAGCCCCAAACAGGTGCCTTTGGGATGGTCCCAGTTCCCCAAGGCTCATCCCAACCCACCTGACCATTCCCGAGGAGGCGTTTCCCATGGACGTGTCCTTGGGCTTCACGTACTTCTGGTAGTTGTTAATGCCACGGTAAATTTTATCATCTTCCTTTCCTCTCAGCTCCTGGGAGAGCAAGAAGAGGTGATTAGGATCAGGAAAGCTTCATGACAGGTTAGCTGTCACCACTCTGATGCCAGCCTCCCTTCCTACTCTGCCCTCCTTGACACCAAGATGCCAACAAAGCCACAGAATCCCCCTATTTACAAGGGTTGCACTCTTGGTTTTTCAAGTTTCCAGGGAAGTAGAGACTCCAACTCTTGCTGGTGTGCAGAAGGGGATGAGTAAAGCACAGGCACTCCTGCTGCAGAGCACCAGCTCCTCAGAGCAAGGCTGACTCACCTCCTGGATTTTCTGGCTGCGCTCGAAGATGGCCTGGGCATCCTTCTCCTTCTCTGTGTCCAGTTCATACACTGCTGTGGCTCCCATGTCTTCTGGGCCAACAGGTTTCTGAAAAGCAAGGAAAACTTGTGACAAGGGTGGAGGGAAAACCTGGACAAGGCAGGGAGCTCCCTGGCTACCTGAAGGGTTGGCAAAGAGCAAGAACTGGACACACCTGATTTACCTTCTATCAGTTTCTGCCATCCCTTGGCACTGCCAGGGAGAATCCCCCATGGGCTGGAGGCCGATTCCTCACTGCTCCCAAATTTTAGGCTGCAGTCAGGAAACACTTGGCCTTATTTTACTCCTGCACACTCAGTCCCAGCTCAGCTGGAAGCTGCACTCAGGTCTCCTACGTCCAACACTTCAACCACGGGACCCTCCTGCCCACACACGGGATGTCACATCTGAACTTCTGACCTAGCTGGGGGCGGCCAAAATTCAGTTTTAACACAGTGATCTGGTTTAGAGTCCTCTGTAATGGACTGAACAGACACCTCTTCCTAGGTTTTATCGGATCTTCAGGAACAGCTGCACAGAAACCGAAGAATAATTA